TTTTTTAATGTATTCATGCATACAGAACTGGGGTACAGGCCAGAGGTACAGGGGTGGTGAGAGGATTCACCAGAGACAGAATGGGAAGCAGAACAGGCCAATTGACAAAGTACACTGCTGAAAGGAACAAGGAGTGGGTCAGGAGAGGTCTGCCGGGCCATGTGGATCACCTTGTGGCAGTAATCGAACTCATGCTGAAGTGGCTTTAGCTTCTTAATGCTGTGCTTTAATAGGCTGCGTGACCAGGGAGGGCCCAAGATAACCCTTTTTTGTTTAATATAAATGTTGCTTATAATTCTCCCTGTATTTGCCTTTTAACTTACTTTTATTTAGTTTTACATTAAAATTTTCTCCTTCAGCATAACCATTTCACAGAATGTGAACTTACCAAGCTTATGACAATATTGACCCATGTTTTTTTCCTAGTATTTCTATGTTGCATTTACCATTTATAAATCATTGCTCCACCAAAATTTACTTTAAGAAGTTGAAGTCATAGTGGAGCTTGTTTTCCCCAGATAGTAAATGATTTACTGCTGCACTAATTATGAAATCAAGCATCATTCCCTCCACTTACTTCAAATCTCACCCTTATAATGAATTTACATATTTACTGAGATCTAATTTTGTGCTCTTTATTCTATTGCACTGATGAAATTTAATCTCTAAATTTTATTCTCCTTTCTTAAATTTTCTTACTCTCTTCCCCGGTTTGTCAGCTTTTGATGAAAATGCTTTACAGATTAGTGAATAATCACTGTAGTCACTGTGGGAAGATAGCAAATTCCATTCAAATATACCTTATTCTTAAGTCACCCATCCCCCATTGCTAGACAGTGAAGTCAACATTAGACTAAAATGTCTCCCAAAAAAATTGTCCTAAAAGTATATTTTTCAAACATAATTTTGCTAGGAAACAAAAATAAGAGAACTTACTTCAGATAATATAGATAATTCACCCATTTTAACTAAGAAAAACTCTTAAGACGTAGAGACAGAAAATAAAGGAAAAATAATTTTGGGGGTTGAGGAGAGAAACTGAGTGGGAGCAAATAGTAAAAAGAGAATTAAAAACTCATTAAAACTGGGGTTAATTCTCAGCACTCTGAAGCTATCCCCAGCCACTGCACCATGAGTTCGATCCCCAGCCAGGGAGGTGACCCACATGGTGCAGCAGACCTCTCCTGTCTGGCTTGCTGCTCCCCTTAGCAATGCATTTCAATAGATCAGCCTGTTCTATTTCCCACTTTGTCTTTGGTGAATCCTCTTATCTCCTGCCACCCCCACCTCTGTTCTGTACGCCAGTTCTTGTATGCATAAATAAATAGAAGTAAATCTTAAAAAAGGAATTCATTAAAACTGTTAGAAACAAATACTGTACGATACCCCTCATATGTGGAATCTGAAAAAACCTAACATCAGACCTGTGGAATGGTGGTTACTCAGGGCTAAGGGGTGGAGGTTATTGTTTAACAGGTCCAAGCTAGCAACCAATACATGAGCCCTAGAGATCTAAAGCACTACATAGTGATCATAGTCAACAATATTGTATTACAAAATTTGTAGTTGCTAAAAGACCTCTATCTTAATTTTTCCCATCATACACTAAAACAGAAATAATTATGGCACATGACAAAGGGGTTAGCTAATGCTATGGTGGAATTATACTGCAATATATAAATGTGTCAAAGCACTATACCCCTCATGTTGGGCCCTCCCTGGTGTCGCAAAGGGTTGGAGCACAGCACTACAAAGTTAGCTGCAGCACAAGTTGGATGCCTGGCCAGAGAGGTGAACCACATGGCGTGGCAGACCTTTCCTGTCTCACCCACTGCTTTTCTCAGCAGTATATTTCAGTCTGCCTGTTATGCTCTCCACAGTCTCTGGTGGATCCTCTCACCCCCTGCACCTCTTGCCTGTACCCCAGTCTGTATGAATAAATAAATAAATCTTTTAGGGAAAAAAATAGACTTCAGATTTAAAAATTATAATTGAATTGTTTAGCATTAGTCTAGAACAGTCCGCACAAAACTAACCTTTATGTGGACAAGAGTGCCCTCTCCTGGTAGAGCTCTGTTAGTACAGCTAAAATAATTTGAGACGTTTGCTGTGGAAAGGATAAATAGAAGCTGGCTGGTTCTAACCTAATCACATTACTGTAACCTGGTCATGCCAGAATCTGAAGCTTTATCCTACCACATGAACTCCTTTAACATAAGCTTACATTGGCGTGGATGCCAGAGTTGAAACTAGATTTCACCGAGAAATTTAATTCTAATTAAATTAGCGATCTTACTCTTGTTTATATTTAGGACACTAAACAAAATCTGTAAACCTCTCAAAAGTACTTTGCTTTGAAAGAGGCTTGTCCATAAGCAGCAGAACTGAGATTCAGATCCAACTTTTTTCTTTTCTTTTTTTTTAAAGATTTATTTATTTATTCTTATATAACTGGGGTACAGGCCAGAGGAGCAGGGCGATGAGAGGCTTCACCAGAGACAGAGTGGGGAGCAGAACAGGCAGATCAACAAAGTACACTGCTGAGGGGAGCAGCGAGCGGGTCAGGAGAGGCCTGCCACGCCATGTGGGTAACCTCTGGGGCCGGGGAATCAAACTCATGCTGAAGGGGCTCTAGCTTCTTAGTGCTGTGCTTTAATCCACTGTGCCACCAGGGAGGGCCCCCAACTTTTTTCTTTTTAATATAGCAGTCATCTTTCTGAAAGAAGGAAAAATGAAACCAACCTCTAAGTAACTGACTACAAATAATTTATATCTTATTAATGTTGGCACTTAAATTCTCTTTACAGCACATTGAAGATGTGGATTATTGATGCTATGTTTACACATGGAACCTTTACACTGTAAAGGTCATGATGCAGCATAATCTGAGCTCACTGGAATAAAATATAATCTGGCATACTGAGAATATTTTTTCCTTTTGGTGGCTAAAGAGTTTTTTTGTGTGATTTTAGCTTTCATATAAAGAAATCATGTTTTATACTTACTGAAGGCCTACTAAATACCAAATACTTTATTGGTTCTAGATACTGCTGGCTTCTCATCTGTCAAGGCTAAATTTGGCATCTATGCCAAAGTTTGCCTTCCTCTATTCTAATCCGTATAGCAATTCTACAAGACAAATTTACCGCCCCCATTTTATCAATAAAATAACTGAAACTTGAAGAAGTTACAGAAATCATCAGATGTCAACACTCTTTGGGTGTAGCAGACTGGAATCCCTAACTAGTTTCCTGGCTCCAACTGCCCTAAAATTCCAACTTCTATTTTTTTAATATATAATTTTTTTTAACAAGGTAACATTGGTTTACAACACTAAATATGGTTCAGAAATACAAGATGTTCTCTCTTCAGGGATGCTCACAACACTATTAAGGTACTCAGACCTCCACTGTGCCCGCCCCCCTTTTCTCTGCATCCTTCCCTGTAGTCATCTCAATTTTTGTCACATTTCTAGGGTTGCTTTTGGTTTGAAGTTGTCTTTTTTGAAGTTGCCTCTATCCCACATATGATTAATGCCACCCAGCGTTTACCATTTTCCTTCTGACTTAGTTTTAGCATAACCCCCTCCAGTTCTACCCAGGTTGTCACAAATGGCAGCTGTTGATCTTTTCTATAGCTGAATAGTATTCGTGCGTGCACACGTGTGTGCGTGCGTGCGCGTGCACGTGTGGGTGTGTGCCAATCATCTTCCCTCACTCATCAGTCCTTGTGTACTGTTGCTTCCACAATTTGGCTGTTGTAAATAGTGCTTCAGGGACTATAGGTGTGCATATATTTCTTTTGCATTCTGCAGGTAGACACCTAGGAGTGGAATTGCTGGACTATATGGCAGTAGACTTATTCTTAATATTTTGAGAAACCTCCATTTGTTTTCCCATAGGGTTTGACCAGTCAACATTCCCAATAGGGTGTATGAAGGTTCCTCCATACCACACCCTAACCAACGCTTGTTTCTGGTCTTGTGATATGGGCCATTCTCACAGACAATTGTGTGATAATACCTCATTGTGGTTTTGATTTGCATTTCTCTGGGGACAAATGATAAGCATTTTCTTTACCTATCTGTTGACAATCTGTGTCTTTAGGAAAGTCACTACTTAGCTTACAGTATTTATCTGATAGCTTTGATGAATTCTTACCCTCTTTTTATATCCTGCTCCCTGTCCGCAATGCAAAACTTCCACTCTGCAATGCAAAACTTGTCCTTTTTGTCTTTAGCTCTTCTGCCCATGATTTGATAGGATTATGTTTTCTTTTTGTTAAGTTGGATGAGTTCCTTGTAAATCCTGAATATTAGCTCCTTATCAAATATGGTAGGCAAATATTTATTCCCATCGGTAGGATGTTCTTTTGTTTTAATGACTTTTTAACCAAATTTATGTTGAAGTTCTTTTTCTGAGAATAATTTTTTAAATATGTTAAGTGTTTCATTGAAAATATCTTTTCATTTTTCTGATAGTTCATAATGGTCAGGTCATCAACAAAATTTAAAAATACAGAGAAAAGCCCCTTTAAAGATGTTTCATATCCAGAAATAATTATTTTAATGAAAAGTTAGATATCTAGTTATAACATTCCTATTTAATTAAGAAGTATAACTTCTTATTTATAAGTTACACTTCTCTAGTATAACTTCTTACTTATAAGTTACACTTCCCTATACTTATTTATAAGTTATACTTCTTAATTAAAAGCATTTCTTTTTTCTAGCACATGGAAACATACTGTCTATAAATTACTATTTTGACTGGAAAATCAGCTTTTGTACTGATATAAAGCGCTATCTTTTTTTAACATTAACATAGCAATTTTTGTGTGTTTGTCTTATCTATGGATAGAGTTTAACAAATATTGCTGAAGCCAACTTGTATTTATTCTGTGATGCAATGGTGGCAGTTTTAAATTCATGTTGGTGTTGAAACTATACCATAGAAACTGGAAAATGCTACAAAACCGGTATTCTGTTCCCTGCAGGGGCTGTAGTTAAAAATTCACCAGCATGCCTATGGTGATGGCACATGGGTGACTCTGTGACGGGAAACCCACAAGGATAACAATGGAGATGAAAAAAAAAATGTATAAAAATAAACTATTATATATAAAAAAATTTCACCAGCATGCTATTGCATTATCCCCATTATTTAGATTAAACACAAAAAAAAAAGCCTAAACTTTACACAGTAGAAACGCCTTCTCCAAAATCACTCTGATACTCAAGTGGCAAAGCAGATAATCAAACAGTTTCTCCACCTGCAATATTTGCTTATTCACAATGTGTATAAGGGTGTGCTGTGCTGTTTAAACAGGTGTTTGTTAGCTTTCTTGGAGCGTGGAAATATTGAAATCTGGTGAAAATATGCCGCAAAGTCAATTTTCCTCTGAACACTTCTTAGAAGGAAATTGCATCCTTCAGGTTCTGGCTTTATCCTCCTTGCCAACTATCATTGGCCAATGCCACAGACTAAAGGGATTTAGACTCCTTCAAGCTCCCTTTGTCTTTAGGCCAGAAACCATCAGCCTATTATATTTCCTGTCACATCTCCAAGCTTTCCTTGTATAATACTATTGCTTCAGATTTCCTGGGTGAACACCAGTGTTTGAATAAATGACTTATTCCAAGAAAGAAATATTACATCATACATAGTTTAAGCTTTATTTTCTATACATCCAATATGTATCCAATTGTGCTCACATTTAAGTACAATATTCCAATTCTTAGTTTTCCCAATTTTACTGCATTTTTTTTTCTTTCTGAATGAACTATTCTGTAGTTGTTTCTAGAGAATCTTGTCTAATTTTTTTTGGTTCCATCTCTCTTATCTAACGAAATACACTACAGTTTGTCTCCCCAAAACATTGGTCAGTGAAACAGTTTGGTTACACTGTCACATCCCGTCAATGTATTTAATGACCTATCTTTTTTCCTCAGTCATCAATAAAAATGTTAAAAACTCAGAGCCAATTCTTATTGAACTCAGAGCCAATTCTTAACACTAGCCCCAGAACAGAAACCCCTTAGTAGGGACCACCTGTATATCAATAGTATATACATCAGGGAGACAACATATGAACATGTAACATGGAACTAAAAAACAAAGCTCAAATTAAATCAAGATCTAATAAAATCTCTATAATGACATCTGACTTCTTTCCCAAGATTTCCAAATGAATCTGTCAGTCCTAATTTGGCTGAATTATTTTTTTAAAGATTTATTTATTTATGCATACAAAAACTGGGTATAGGCCAGAGGAGCAGGGGGTGAGAGGATTCACCAGAGACACAGTGAGGAATAGAACAGGCAGATTAAATGAAGTGCACTGCTGAGGGGAGCAGCAGGGGAGACAGGAGAGGTCCGCTGCACCATGTGGGTCAGCTCCCTGGCCAGGGATGGAACTTGTGCTGCAGTGACTGTGGCCAGCTTCATAGTGCTGAACTTTAAACCAGTTGCACCACCAGGGAGGGCCCAGGCTAAATTATTTTGTCTAGTTACTTCTATAGTCCTCATTTGCAAAATATCTTCATCAGGATCTTGTATAAGTTCCATGAAAAATATTTAGCACAGGCCTCTCTGGTGGTGCAAGGGGTTAAAACACAGTACTATGAAGCTATCGCAGCCACTGCAGCACACATTGGATCACCGGCCAGGGGGTTGACACACATGGTGCAGCAGAACTCTCCTGACACACCCGCTGCTCCCCTCAGCAGAGTATTTTTGGTCGACCTGCCTGTTCTGTTTCCCACTCTGTCTCTGGTGAAGCCTCTTACTCCCCATTTCTGATCTGTATGCTAGATCTTGTATGCATAAATAAATCTTTTAAAATATATATTTGGGAAAAATATTTAGCATGGAGTACAGTACATGTGAAGCACTCACTAAATAAATAGTTGGTGGTATGTTATTATTAAGACTAAAGCAGCTTCCATTTTTGATCACCACTGATGGGCTAGACACTATAGTCAGTCAGATCTGTCATCGTTGTTAAGGTAATTTGACTTAACTGTTTACCATCAAAGTAACAATGAAGCCCCAGTGAATATTTTGTTTTTAAAGAATGCTTCTGATTTCAGTTTGGGACCTACCCTGGAACCTGAGGAAGTGGTAAACAAACTGATGAATGGCATCCTGACAGAGCAGAAAATGATTTTTGTTCCAGCCTCTATAAACTTCTTAACCGTGGTAGAAAGGTAAGCAGCAGTTACAAAGATTTATCTGTTGTGTGCTTTACTAACATTTAAATTCAGACATTTGATAAAAGTACAATTAAATGAAATTGAGGGATTTTAAAAAATAGTAAATTTGAAGATTCTATCAGTTTTAAAACCACAAATGTTAAACATTTAAGTAAGACTTATAGATCCATGAGGTAAATGAACTGAAATAATTTTTATTTTTATTATTTTTATTTTTTTTTTAAAGATTTATTTATTTATTCATACAGAACTGGGGTACAGATCAGAGATGCGGAGGGTGAGAAGATTCACCAGGGACAGAGTGGGGAGCAGAACAGGCAGATCCACGAAAGTACACTGCTGAGGGGAGCAGCGGGCGAGTCAGGAGAGGTCTGCCGCGACATGTGGTCACCTCTGGAGCAGGCAGGGATCGAACTCATGCAGAAGTCGCTTAAGCTTCTTAGTGCAGTGCTTTAACCCGCTGTGCCACCAGGGAGGGCCTGAACTGAAATAATTTTTAAAGATTTTTTTAGTTATTTTAAAGAAAAGAAAGTTATATATTTCTTGAACTCTTGTTATCAATATATATGAATAAATATGATTTTAAGCATTTACATAATGCAAGCAGAAGACTGTAATATCAGAAGAGACCATTGTTAGGTTTTACATATTTGTTTAAATATACAACAGAAACTCCACTTTTGTGGAGAATACATTTGAAGATAAAAAATAATAAGTAGGGCTTCCTGGTGGCCTAGGGTTAAGTTTCAGTGCTATCACCACTGTGGCCTGAGTTTGATCTCTCCTGTCTCACCTGCCACTCCCCTCAGCAGTGCATTTCAGTTAATCTGCCTGTTCTGCTCTTCACTCTGTCTCTGGTGAATCCTTTCATCCTCCCCCCAATGGCTCTGACCTACACCCTAGGTCTTCTACACAAAAATAAAGAATAAAATAAATAGGTCTTAAAACATATATATAAACAGAAGATAATCCTCTGAACTCTTATTTGTGCAAAATCATACTGACGCATAGGAATCGCTAAATAATCCTTTATAATGTAGAGACCTTTGAATCTTGCTACTTCAAATGTGACCCATGGCTTATAGCCTCAGCATCACCTGGGAGAAATCCAGTCTCATCTGCTGAGTCAGAATTTGCACTAGAAAAAGATCCACAGGTGACACATATGCATTTAAAAATTGAGGAACATTTCTTTAGTGGTACTACTCAAGTTTAATATGTGTTAGAATTCATGTGGGGTTTTAAATGCTGATACCTGACACCTGTTCCCCAAGAGTCTTATTTTATTGGTCCAGAGTATGGTCTGATTTCCAGGAATTATCTGTAATAACTGTCCTGGTGATTCTCATGTACAGCCAAGATTGAGGACCACTGGTTTAAAGAATGCCCATCATAACACACTCCCTCATTATTCATCTGGGAAGCCGTGCGACCATGAGGCTGGCCAGATAATGAGGTGTTTCAGACCAAGGGGAAAAAACTTTGTCATTTAGAGCCCTATTACAGGATCACTTGGGAAGTCTATTTAAAAAAGATTCCTAGACTTCATCTCTAAAGATTTTATTATTGTTTGTATTACTTATAATTTTTTTTGAAGTAACACTGCATTATAGTGTAAGTTTGTGTGCATTATTACAAATCAACCTGTGAATATACTACATTAAATTAACCATTCTGTTAAATGAATCACTAAAAATCCAACTTTATCGTTTCCCATAAAATTGGTCATTTTTACCTCATTTACTCACCCGCCCTTCCCCACTTTTTAAGTAATCAATAATTTGTTCTTATAGATGATTGAGTTGGGACCTAGAAATCTATATTTGAACAGATAATTGGTTCAAAAGTCATGCTTTGATCTATTGACTAAGAGACGTAAGGCAATTGAAATGATCAAAGTGACATGTCTCAGGCTTCATAAGCCCCTTCTGCTGGAACTTTAGTTGAACATGACTTAGAAATTTAGGTTTAGGGTTTGTTAGGTGAATAAACACAACCTGTGTGCTATTTAACATTATTATTCTTAAGCACTCAATCATTAAGAACTTTAGAACGTGACTCTGAGGGAAGATATTGTACTTTTTTTCCATCACTGATGCCTGCACTTTTCAAGAGTGACAGATACATAAGACACACCAACATGTCCTTCATGGGAAAAAAAATTCTATTTCCTAGACCTTTAACATACAGACTCTAAATTTGTGCTCTGGCATTAGATGAAGCTGTGTTTCTGTGACTTGTTTGAATGAACATGGATGAATTTCTTAACTCTTTAAAGTTCTGTTTCTTCATTTGTCACAAGGAGATAATAATGTGACTATAGGCTATGAGTAATCAATAAAGTAATGCATTTCAAAAATCCAGTACAGAATAAAAATTCAACAAATGTGATACCACTGTTTCCTATCCATTATCATTGTAATTGTTCCTATTATAACCATTGTCTTGATTTTCCTCAAGCTGGAAATGTTTGATATTAGTATCATCTTGGCAGAAATCTGCATGTAATTATTTTTCTGTTTAGAGCGTTCAGATTCCTTGGAATTTTGCGAGTTCCTCAATATTAGGTACACAGTAAGGATAGAAAAATATTACACATGTGATGTATCTATCACTGTTTAGGACATTTTATATATAGACATTGATTCTTCACAAGAGTTGTTGCGTAGATGTTAATTTTTCTGTTCAGATGTGAGGAATTTAAACTCAAAGTTAAATAATTTGTTCAGCATTATGTTCAAAACCAAAAGTGTTATCTATATTTTCATTTAGCAATTTCCCAGTCTCTTAGTGGAATATTTTGATAATATTCTGAACTATAGAGTACATAAAGTTAACTTCTGTTCTCACTACCTTCCAAAGACCAGATTTCTTTTTAACTTTCTCCTTTTTTTTTTAAGCTTTTTAGGCATCTCAACTATTCTGTCCTATAAAGCTTCTTTCTTAAATCTTTTGAAAAATAGAGGAGTACAGGTAATTCAAAAACTAAATGTTATAGATCACTCATACCCTGAAAAAAGGTTAGAACTTCCTTTTGAAAAAGAAATAGGTTTAACTCGGAAGAACACAGCAGTCACTCAGTTAACTTATTAATATTATTTAATATAAACATGGACATGATACATAAGTATAAGAATGCTAAATGATGTTTTTCAAATGCACTTACTATGAATTTTCTAATTATTTTCATGTATCTTTCTTTTAGGATCTTTCCTGAGCGTTTCCTGACACTTTTAAAAAGAAAAATCAATGTTAAGTTTGATGCAGTAATTGGATACAAAGAGAAAGAGCAATAGTGCTTTATTTTTGAAAACTGATCTACCAAGTTCCAGTTGACTTCATCTAATGTTAATCACAATTTTCATGTTTGAACTTCTGACTTTCCTAATTATATTTTTTTAATTATTATTTGGTATTATTGTTTAAAGCTCTGCTACTGAAAGCTAATTTCTTCTAACAGAGAGAAATATCTTAGGAATTGACCTTATGGAAAGTAGGGGAAAAGAAGAATTTTACTATAATTTCTAAAATTGTGTGACTCATCTGATGGTTTTGCAAAATTTGTACTAGAAATGGTTAAGATTTTTTATTTTTAGTTATACGTTATTAACATTTACAAAATTTGCCTTTTCTTTTCTAATCTACCTTTAAACAGAAACTTAAAGCTCTCTAAACATAACGAAGAGCTATACTTGGTGGCATTTTATAATAAATTTCATGTGATGTAAGATATAGTGCTTGAACATTTCATCCTGCACAGTTCCACTGTTTCCTGACAGATACCTCACATTCCAATGCCAAACATTTCAGCACAAGGAAACAAGAGATGGACACATGTTGCAGAATAATTGTATCGTGGAGGGGGGGGGTTGATGCAGAGAATTGGGAGAATGTACCAATAAGTGGCAATAATAATAAATGGATGAAACTTAACCTTCTGGTGTTTTCCTATTTTGTCTCGAATAGAACATGGCTTAAGCAATGTATGCTTTTTTAGTATATGCCAGCTCTTATATGCATAAAAAATAAATCTTTTAAAAAAGAAGAAAAAGAACAAACATTATTCAGGCAAATCTACCTTCCATCCGAGAAGGTTGGGCAGAGGGTGTTCTGTGAAGATACCCTCCCTAAGTGTGGGTGCTTCATGATGACTACATCTGAGGGGGGAATTCTACTGACAGAACACTAACAGGATGTAAAGCAGTGGTTCCCTAACCACAACAAAAACATAGATTGCCTCACTAGAACTGATCGGGAAACTCCAGACTGATTGGTTTAAAATTCCACTTTTGGACACCTGCACCCCCATGTTTATTGCTGCTCTATTTATAATAGGAAGACATGGGATCAACGCAAATGCCCAAAAGTAGATGACTGGATTAAAAAGATGTGGTACATATACACAATGGAATATTACTCAGCAATCAAAAAAGATAAATTCATGCCTTTTGCAGCAATATGGTTGGAGCTGGAAGGGATCATGCTTAGTGAAATAAGCCAGAAAGAAAAGGAAAAATACCAGATGGTTTCACTCATAGTAGGAGCATAAAGGATGTGGGGGGGGGGGTGAGGAAATAATAATGAACAGCTATATACCAGAGACATTTTATGGGGGTGGAGTGGGGAATGGGATCAAAAACAGGGGGAGGGGGGAAAGAGTGCACTGGACTATGATGGCACATGGGTGATTTGGTGATGAGAAGCCCACAGGGATTACAATTGAGATGGAAAAGTTCACAAAATGATGTAAAAATAAACATATATAAAATAGTTGTCAGTAAAAAAAATAATTCCATTTTTGGAAGAACTAAAACTGCAATTGGTTAGGTATTAAATATTGGTGGGCCCAGCATGAAAGAATTCATTTGGACCTATTTTTTCTCTTGAACAGTCACCACGCTGATTCGGGCCACCATTATCTCTGACCAGAATTACTGAAAAGCTGTGTAGCTGATAACCCTGCATCTGTTTTACCCTTTTTCTAGTGCATTCTCCACCCTATAGCTTTTCTAAATCTAAAGTAACAGTCCCCTAGCCTGAACCTCTCACCAGGCTCTTGGGCCCTGAGGCTCTCAGTGATTGCACCTCTGCTAAATTCTCTCTCTCCTCTCTACCCCACTCCCTGGTCTCCAAATCAGAACTGCCTACCCTTGAACACACCTTTACTTCTCACCCCTCAGGGCCTGCACACAGTTTCCTACATCTTTACCCTTCATCTATCTAAAAGCGGCTCGTGTTAGTTTCCACTTACAGTTCACCTCCCAACCCCCACCCTCATCTTCAGAGATGGGTGATTTGCCCTTCCTGGAAGTTCCCAGAGCGCCTATATTTAGGATTGCCATAGCACTTTGCATCAGGTGGAGAATATAGAGGCAAGAGATTTCTGTTCTCCTAAGAATATGGGTAGCCAGGAAAGAGGAGATCATTATAAGTTAATTGGACAGTAAGATATTACAGCAGGGTGGCAAATGGGGGATGGGGTGGATACAAAGTTTACTGAATGTTTTAATGATGGGAGAGAATGGATATTTGAAAGCATCAAAGACATATGCAGTAGGCAGGAAGAGATTGGAGTTAATAGAGAAGGATAATTGGAGGAACATGAAAGGAAAGCCTGAGATAGAGACTTCAAGGAGCACACACTGGACTTGTGTATAGAATGAAGAGAAGGATTTTATAAGCCAGAAATATGTTAGGGGTTCTATGAGATGTGAATTTGGAGTTTTTGGTTTGGATAGGTAGGTTTTGGAGCCTCAAAGGGAAGTTTCTATGAACTATAAAACTACCTAAAGCTGTTTTATCAATTTGGCAATACACAGAATCTTTGACAATGAACTAATGAACCAGGAAAGAAAAATAATAATTTTCATTCCAAGAGATTATTATAGTTGAGCTAAAATAACAGTGGATTAGTAATGTGTACAAATCCCATAGCTTCCTCATGTTATACCCTCTAGAAAAACAATAGCTTAGCGTTTACCTGTCTTCTCTCCCTATTATACCTCTTAATCCCCATCAATTACATTATAGCAACACTTCTGATCCCTCTAGGTGGTGAAAGGACAGACTCGCTCTTTGCAGAAAAGACAATACCATGCAGATGACATTCTACCAACATTTGCTCACACATCTTCTTTTTCCTTCATTTCCTGTAAATGTTATGGTTACTATACGGTTACTATTGCTGGCCTTATTATATGACCAAATAATACATCTGCTAGTTATTCTGTCCTGTCTTTTTCCTTTTCTCGTTATTATCACCTATGTAAAAATAATTCCATTTCTGAAATTGGCAATAAGGAAGGGCGGGGCTCTCAATAGGTACATGAATGAAAAAGGAAAAGGAAAAAGGCACACAAAATTCAGAAGATAATTCAGTTTAGTAAGAATCCAAATGCTAGGGGTGGTATTCGTTCAGATGAGAAAACTTTCCCCAAAGTAACTCATCCCAAATTGTGATGTGAAGACAAATCAATGATAAACTTACAGTGCATTCATTAATGTCAGTAGGAAAAAACTGACCTAAAAATGTGATCAGAATAAATGAAATATTTTTTATTTTTTATAGATATCTTTTGAGGTAAAGTCAGTGATTTCAGAAAGACGTACAAACCAAAGCAGATTCTATGCTTCTATCTTTGTTGAGAAAGTAGAACCCTGTATTTGAGGAACATGAGCAATTTGACCCCTATATATAAAAAAAACAAACAGAAGGTAGTTTGCCAGGTAATCTCAGACTGGATGAAATATCTCAACACCCAAGCAAACAATTTGACCTAACATTAGTGAAGCAATTCTCACATCCTCAACGTTTCTTGATTCTTGGGTGATACAAATAATTCAGTAGATAAAAGCATTTAGATTAAAAGTATATCAGTAGCAGTGTTGGAGACCAGCTCCAACTATTGAGGTGTCTGGAGACAAGACAGGCAGGACCCTAAGGTGGGAAGCCGTCAGCGAGCAGAGATTCCTAAAAAGGGGAGAAGGAGAAAAAAGGGAAAGGGGGGCGAGGAAGACATGGGAGTCAGAGTTGGGTGCAAGTCTTCCTGCTCTGCCTTCAGCAGAGGTTTATTTTATACATTAGGAGCAAGCAGTGGGATGACATCAGCACATGAACTGGGATGAGAGATTACAATCATCTTTTTTTCTAAGAACTGTTTAAGGTCATATTGCCCTTTAGCTGAGATATAACATTCTAAAATCAATCAAAGTTAAAAACAGATACATAGGTGCACAAAGTTTATGACTAATATTACTATAGTGGAGATCAACTAAGATAGAAGTCCCTTAAACCTTATCAACTACTTAATGGGTTTTTGTTTTTCTACCTGAGTCATCCTGGGAGGCAGAAGAGAAAATTCCTTGCTAATCAAATCTCTGAATAGGAGACATAGGTGAATTTCTTTATCTAAAGACTACATAGTAGAATCCTGAAAGACTAGCCGGAAGACTTTTATGGACTCCTTTAAGGTGTAGCAGGTAAAAAACTTGACTAGTTTAAAAACAGGCAACCTGGATGAATTTCCACATTTAAAGGCCCGACAATAGGAAGTTTGAGTAATTCTTTAGAAGCTGAATAGAAGGCTAGGTGAGATAGCAGAATGCTAAGATTTGGGTTTTCCTCCATCCATCCGGCAGTGAGAGAGACTTTGCAAAAACAGCCCTTTTGCTTTTATTTATCAGTCAGTAGTCAAGTCACTTGACTTCAGGGGAATTTTTCACCCTGGTGCAGTGCTTGCTTGTCGGGGCAGGCAGGCCTTATGCGGCTGAGGCAATCCAATTGTAAGCTGAAAGTTGCTAAGAATATTTTGATATTATGATTATACAAAAAAGGGAGGTCATAACATAAGTTAGCAGTGGAAAGTCTGATTTTTCAGAGCTTTTCCCGATCTACTCGGAATCTGTCAGACGATAGACGTTGCATAGCTTGTGTCATAGCAGTCCCTCCCTGGTGGTACCATGGATTAAAGCACAGCACTATGAAGCTACCACAGCCACTGCAACACAAGTTCTATCCCTGGCCAGGGAGCTGACCCGCCCACTGCTCCCCTCAGCAGTGTACTTCATCAGTCAGCCTGTTCTACTCCCCTCACTGCCCCTGAACCTCTGGCCTGTACCCCAATTCTGTACGCATAAATAAATAAATAAATCTTTTTTTAAAAAAAATCTATCAGTAGCAATAATGATATGTCATTAGTAATAATAAAAAAGGGACAACAGTAGCATATGAATTTGGATGGTGTAGATTCTCCAGCCTGACCTATTCTGAGTATGGTGAATATTGAAGTTCCAGATGTTCAACCTGAAAACACATTCCTGACATTACTGCCCAGCATGAGTTCTGATCTAATCCATCTATTTTAACATCTAAAAATTTATACGTCTCCACTAAACATCCTTGCAAATTTGCATGTGGAAATAAAGGGTCAAGCATTTCTTTTTTAAAAAGATTTATTTATGTATGCATATAGAAGTAGGGGACAGGTCAGAGGTACAAAAGTGGTGAGAGGATTCACCAGAGACAGAGTGGGGACTAGAACAGGCAGATGGATGAAGTACACTGCTCATGGGAGCAGCTGGTGAGACAGGGTCTGCTGCACCATGTGGGTTACCTCCCTGGCTAGGGATTGAACTCATGCTGAAATGGCTACAGCCAGCTTGGTAGTTCCATGCTTTATTTAACCCACTGCGCCACCAGGGAGGGCCCTCAAACAGTTCTTTTTATAAGTCCACTTAAGGTTCAAACCAATCCAGTACTCTTCCCAGTACAATATGGAATAACCTGGATTAACCTGTTATTACTGATACAGGCGGAACAATTTTTTTCTTTAGTGCACAGAGCTGTCTGTGCACTGTAAGGTACCTAATGGCTGCCTTTTAACTACCAGAAGACAATGGCATGTCCAAATTATGAAAACCAAAAATTCATCTGACATGACAAGATGTACACTGCGGAGATGAGAACCACCTGGTTGGCTGGTTTTACACAGCTGACCTAAGTTGGTCTAAGTTAAAAGTTAGGGTTCTGCAATCAGACTTCCCTAGTTTGAATCCTCACCCTCTTACAGTGACATGACTTTTGGCAAGTTATCTAAGTATACATCAATTTCTTCATCTGCACAATGGCAGATTTTAATCATATCAAATGTTTCTTGTGAAATTTAAACAAGTTGGCATGTAAAACCTTTAAATCAGTTCATGGCGTATTAAATGCTCAATACATTTAAATTGTAACAATTGCTATAATTATTATGATTTGATTTATATACTTCTTGCAAAGCAATTTCATATGCATGCTCTCTGCTTTGATTTTTTTTTTAAGATTTATTTATTTATGCATACAGAACTGGGGTACAGGCCAGAGCAAGGGCAGTGAGAGGCTTCACCAGAGACAGAGTGGGGAGCAGAACAGGCCAACTGATGAAGTACACTGCTGAGGGGAGCAGCAGGCAAGTCAGGAGAGGTCTGCTGGCCATGTGGGTCACCTCCGGGGCTGGGGAATTGAACTTACACTGAAGCAGTGCTGCGCTTTAACCTACTTGGCCACCAGGGAGGGCTCTGTCCTTTGATCTTTATAGACAATTTGTGAATTGGTTTGTAGTGAAGGTTGAGCTTGTGACTTGTGGTGAAGGTCTAGTTACCTAAACACATATGTTAATTTTATGTCTGTTTTCCAGATAAGGAAAGTGAAGCATAGAAAAAGTAAATAAGATTGCCTGAAATCATATTATTTTTTAATTTTTGTAAAATTTACATAACATAAAATTTACTATTTTAACCATATTTATGTATGTATGTATGTATGTATGAATTTTTAATGAAGTACCATTTTCTTACATCCTTGTTAATTTTTTGACAGTATAAGATTTTCCCCCTAAGGAGTGGTCACTGGAGCTCTTCCACCATCAAAGCACCACCAGAATCCACCACGCTCCCCCCACCATTATAGTCAGTGGCCTTAAGTACATTCACACTGTAACGTAGCCCTCAAGCCATACTTTTTCATCACCCAGACTGAAACTTCATATCCATTTAATTCTGCTTCCTCTCTTCTCCCAGCCCTGAGTTATCAGCATTCTTATTTCTGTCCCTGGTATTTGACTATTTTTGGTGCATAATATAGGTAAAATCATACAATGTTTATCCTTTTGTTTCTGGGTTATTTTACTTGCCATGCTTTTAAGGTACATCCATATTGTGGCATGTATCAGAGTTGTATATATATATATTTTAAGATTTATTTATTTATGCATACAGAAGTGGGGTACAGGCCAGAGATGCAGAGGATTCACCAGAGACAGAGTGGGGAGCAGAGCAGGCTGACTGACACTGCTGAGGGGAGCAGCGGGCAGGTCAGGAGAGGTCTGCCATGCCATGCGGTTCACCTCCAGGGCTGAGGATCCAACTCTCACTGAAGCGGCTGCGGTTAGCTTGCAGTGCTGCATCCTAACCCGCTGTGCCATCAAGGAGGGCCCTAGAATTGTATATTTTAAGACTAAATAATCACCCATTGCCTATATACAAATTTTGTTTCTCCATTCATCCATAGATGGATCTTTAATTTGTTTCCATTTTTTGGCTATTGAAAGTCATAACACTTTTAAGTGGAAACTTCTGGCTTTGGCCTAATGCTCTTCCTCAGATTATAACAAAGGGAGCTGCTTGCTCTAGATAACCTACAATCTTTTCCTAACTCAAGAGATCTTCAGGGAAGTGGACATCTCACGAAAAATGGTTAGCTAACTGAACTACTGAGGCTGAGCTTTCATGAATAAATGAATCAGACATCTAAGCTTAGTTGACTCACACTTTTAAGTTTTACTGAAAATATCTATATTCTCTCACATTAAAAAAAAAAAAACTGTTGAGGACCCTCTCTGGTGGCACAACGGGTTAAAGGACAGTAGTAAGCAGTTGTCTGGATCCACTGCAACAAAAGTTCAATCCCCAACCAGGGAGGTGACCCATATGGTATGGCAGACCTCTTCTGTCCCATGGGCTGCTTCCCCTCAGCAGTGTTATTTCCTTTGATCTGCCTGTTCTGCTCCCCACTCTGTCTCTAGTGAACCCTTTCAACCCCTGCACCTCTGTTCTGTACCCCAGCTCTTGTATGCATAAATAAATAAATACGAACTGTTTAAAAAAGATAGCAAGAAACCATTAGCTGATGCAATATCTGTAGAGGTGGTGAAACACGGAAAGAACTCTTTCCCAGATAATCAGGTCCAGACAACACTTTCTCTTTACCAGCAGCTGGCATCGCACCAAAAACTGGAAGCATATCCAATCCACTAGAACACGTAGACAAAGACTGCCTATAAACTGAGCTTACCTTTACCAGTCCCATCACCACCTGGAGCACAGCACAGTCCCTCCTGGAAAACCGTGCAGAGGACAGATCTTTCCTGGGATAGACAGGTCTGATCCAGAGGAGAAGAATAAAGAGCAAAGCCATGAACATCATCTTGGATCTCCTCCTACTTCTACTCACTATCCTCTACTCCTACCTGGAGTCCATGATGAAATTTTTCATTCCCCAAAGGAGAAAATCTGTGGCTGGGGAGATTGTTCTCATTACAGGAGCTGGGCATGGGATAGGCAGGCTGACTGCCTATGAATTTGCAAAACGGAAAAGCAGACTGGTTCTGTGGGATATTAATAAGGTAATGGATTTATTTGTATTTTAAAGCACATATTTTAAAAAGTTACCTGATGTGGGAGGTGGGAAAATTATTTGTCTTAGCATCTGCATACTTTTGTATTTTTCTATCTTAATGATGGATGTCTAAATTCCCTGGAGCTTATCAGATGTATGAGAATGGTCTAGTGAACAAAACTGAGACCCAAGTAGGAATCTTTATGTCAAGATATGCAGGTTGATACACAGACTCAGAAGCCAAGATACTTCCAAACTGTTTAAATGGAAGCTGGGGGTGGGGGGTACTTACTTCTTTCAATCTATTTCCTTGTCTGAGGTGGGAATGAGAATACTACCTCATGGGCTGGTCAAGAACAGGGTTTGGTAAATTATGACTAATGGGACCAAACCTGATCCATAGATAGCATTGAATAGACTTTTTTTTTTTTTTGGAGCAAAAAGAAGTATCATTTATTGAACAATTATTACACACCAAATACACAATCTTGCAAAATAGTATTACTGTACAGAGTTCACAAATGAAAGCACTAAGATACAACCTGGAATTTTTTTTTTTTAATTTTAAAGAGTTGTCAACATGAAGATCAAAAAAGCTAAAAACATGCAACAGAAATTTCCACTCACACACCACCCTATTATATTTACTATCAGGCTTTTAGCCAAGAAAGTTTGCTGACTCTTGGGCAAGAGGATTAAATGAGGGAATACGTTTAATGCTTAAAACAATGTTTGCCTATATAAGTATCAGATATAATTATAAAATCTACACTCAGTGAATCAGGCTTTCTTTTGGGCATTCATATTTTTTCTTGTATTGTTAGTTGTAAAACTGTATTAATTTCTCAAAATAAAACTAAAGTTACAGAAATTTTATCTTGTTTCCCCTAAAATTATTAATTCCAGTAAGACCATGAGAATATATACAGAAAAAAATATTTATAGGACTTTAACTTTGAGAAACTAATGAAATTTTTTTGAGAATTCAATTTTCCACAAATCACAGTAAGATTTGAATTGTTATTTTATTATCATTCTCTCATATTCTTTGCTGTTATTTCTAGTTGGCACTTTTTTATTACAGTCTTAAAAATGTCTCTTGAACTTAGGAAATTAAATTCTTTTAGAAAGCGAAGAATGTTATGCAAGAAAAAATGGACTTTTTATATAACAGATATATGCATTTATATAATACATAAATTGATATACCTGAAGGTGATGAGGCATTGGTTTGGTCCTTGTTGTCTACTGTTCTTAGGCATTGATCAAAAAATATAAATAATATAAATTCTTGAAAAAAGTCTTGATGAAATGTAACTTTTGTATCTTGATCCAGATAGTTTTGGAAAGAAAGCTAGCATTCATTTTTTCTTTTTTAGTGTTACAACGTCCAGTGATAAGAAATAAATATGACTTTGAATTTTATGGTTAAACATTCAAAGTATTAAATGATTCCATCTAAAGCTAAACATGCAACTCACATTTCTTTTACCTGAGGAAAAACATTGGAATTGAAGCCAAAGCAAACATTTTGACTACAAGAATACAAGGCCCTATATTTTGCAGTGCTTCAGCTCAGTTATAAAATAGAAGAAATTATAATTCTTCTGTTAAGGGATGGTATGAAAACTCTAGCCATATGTTCTCAATCGAATCTAATGACAGAAGAGGGTCTATAGTGATTTTTCATAATCTCACAATGAACAAGCTACCAGCTGAAGCCAAAATTGGTGCAAGAGACTTCCATTCTCCCTCTTTTACTCTGCAACCTCACAAAGGGCTATGAAGAACATAGCCCTAATCTTTATTAGGGTCTATTCTTTAGGGTTCTAGGCTCCAGAGTTTAGCCTTGTGGAAATTGAAGGACTCAGACAGACTAAGGGAAACCAATGGACAGATCTTTCATTCAGCCACACCAATAACACCCCAATGTGGAAAAGGGTTTTCAAGTGTCTTTGCCTCTTCAACACTGAGAAAACTTTACAAGTTGTGAAAGGAAAACGTATAATCTTTAAAAGACTTGTCATCTTTAGAAAAGTCAACAGATGTCAAAACATGCAAAGAATTCTAATTGTTCAGGATTGTGGAAACATAAGATCAATTTTATCATAGGAAAGAAATCTTTGAATTGAGGCTTAAAATGAGTTCTTACAACAAAGGAAATGTGCATCAAAACAAAAAGAAGTGGGGCCTCCCTCGTGGCACAAGGAATAAAGTCTCAGAACTAGCAAGTTATCACCAGTCACTGCATCACAAGTTTGATCAGGGAGGTGACCCACATGGCGCAGCAGACCTCTCCTGTCTTGGCTGCTGCTCCCCTCAGCAGTGTACTTCAGTAGATCTGACTGTTCTTCTCTCCCCTCTCTCATCTCTGGTGAATCCTCTCACCCCCACTCCTTACCCTGCACTCTCTCCCACACATCTCTGGCCTGCACCCAAGCTCTTGTATGGATAAGTAAGTAAGTAAATCTTTAAAACAAACAAAGACATGCTACATCCAAAAGGAAGCAAATATCCAAAATATGCAAAGTACTCATAAAAACTCAGCAACAAAAAAACGAAGTGCAAAGAAGATAAATACATATTTCTCCAAAAAAGGATATATAGATGGTCAATAGGCACATGGAAAAAAGATGTTTCTCATCTCGCATTACTAGAGAATGAAAAGAATACCTTACTTCTGTGGGATCATCTAGTATCCAAATGGCAAGAAACAACAAAGGTTAACAGAGGACATGAAGAGGAGAGAAGCCTCATAACTGGGTGGGAATGTAAATTAGAGCAGCCAGTTTTGAGTCCTCAAAAATTTACAAATGGAAATTCCATACCATCCAGTTACCTCACTGCTGAATATTTAACAAAAAAATTATGAGAACAAGAACTCAAAATATATGTTTCACTGTGTTTATTGCAGCATTATTTACTATAGCCAAGACCTGGAAACAACATAAGTGTCCATCAATAGACAAATGCATAAAGATGATGTGGTATATAGATGCAATGGACTACTATTCGCCTATAAAAAAGATGAAGTTCTGCCATTTGCCACAATATACATGGACCTTGAGGGATTTCTGTTTTGTGAAATAAGCTAGATGGAAAAAGATAAACATCATAGGATTAAACTCATATATGGAGAAAAAGAAGAAATGATCTAAATAAAACAAAAATGGACTTGGACTAAAAGATCAATTGGTGCTTTTCAGAGGGGAAGGTGGATGGGTGAATCCAGAAAAGGGGGACGATGGTGTGATGAAAGGCAGATTTTGACTTTTAGCTGTGTACTTAATGTGATTTATACACACTGCAACTCCCAGTGATGAGCACCTGAAATTTATCTAATGTTATAAAGCAAAGTTATTTCAACCTTTTTTTTTTTTTTAGTGAATTGCTCTGTCTCCAAGTTCTAGAGTCAAGTAAAATATTTCTACATACATGAAATTTCACTCACTGGCCCTTACCCATTTTTACAGAATATTTGTAAAGTATACACACACACACACACACACACATCCCCAAGGGTATTAACAATATGTGTCCCTTTGAAAGTCTTCTTCAAATAAGATCTTCCTCTCCCTTCCCTCTTAAGTGAGTTAAATCAAAATCATTGAGATCAAGAAAAGTAGGAGGGAGAAAGGTGTGTAGTTCAAAATTTCCACCAGTACTACTTTAGTGTTTTACTGCCTCTTACATACATATATAATACTAAAAGTTGTATGTTAAATGAATTATTGAGTTTCTCTGTCCATTCTCAAACATTTCCTTCCATGACCACAAAAAACAACATCTTTCAAACATGTTCTTCAGGGGTAAAAATAATGGCTAAATAATAGCCTGCTTTAGAGAAACCACTTCTGGAGAACCTCCAGATCAAAATGAAAAGCTAGAAATTGACTTTGGTCCAGAATAGCTTTTGAAAAGCACCAAAGCACAGTGAAAATATTTGAGCATTTCCTGGCAAAAGAGCCAACGATAATCTCAATGAATTAGGCAAGCAATGTCTCTCGTGCAATTTTCTTACAAATAAGGAGGCATTTGGAACTTGAATTTTAATCTTTAAAAGCTGTCTACTCCAATGCTTTCCCCTCCCACTCTCACCCCCTATTTGACCTCCATTTTCCTGAATGTGCTTTTCTACTGACAGCATGGTGTGGAGGAAACTGCAACCGAATGCAGAAAACTGGGAGTAAAGGCTCATGCATTTGTGGTAGACTGCAGCAACAGAGAAGAGATTTATAAATCTGTTAGCCAGGTAAGACTTCATGATACAAATTCCTTCAAATAATGTTGTATCCACTGATGTGGAAAATGAAAAGTTTCTTTATGATCGCCTGATTTTAATTAGACTTTTACCTTTGGCTGAGTTATTTGTGTGGACAAAGAGGAGTACAATTTTTCGTTGCATAAAACCCCACTCCGTTCTGCCCGTTATTACTGTTTCATATTATTAATCCACTTTACAAACTTCATCACAAGTTTGAGCAGTGGTACAGAGTGACAGAGAAAAGAATTATCACAAGGAAGAGCATCACTAATTTCAGTTTAGTCCTATTACTTTCGGTCATTATTTTTTTAAATCTTCATTTTCCTTTTGCAATTTTATTTATACTTGTGTTAATCTAGTCCTCTAGATAAGATGTAAGATTAATAATTATAACACCTGTAAGAATAAATAACAATGAAATAAGCATTCTGATAAATGATTGCATTTTTAAAATTTTTTAATAATGTAATAGTTTATTTTACATCATTTGTACATTTTTCCACCTAAATGACTGCATTTTTAAATTCCTTAAAAAAGGCCTATATTTGACAGATGAGCAAATTGAGGCTCAGGCTGGTTACCTTACACCAAGGTAACAAAGCTTGTAGGTGGCAGAACAGGACTATTCAATCTGCACTTTTAAAATATTTAGTCAGATCACATATATCACTAAATTAACCCAAATATTAATTTCACTTTAAAATTTATGATATGCTAGGTATTGAATGTAGAAGTTTAACAAACAAACAATTTATCTGAGTTTTCTGGCAGCATCCTTATTGAGCCACTGTTTGGCCCAAAGCTTAATCCTGCCGGAACTCAGGTATCTCATCACATAGAAGGAAGCATCCAAACTTTGAATTTCTCTAACACATGCAATGTATGTGCTCTTTCCATTTTAAAGGTAAAGAAAGAAGTGGGTGACGTAACTATCCTTGTGAATAATGCTGGAGCAATATATCCAGCTGATCTTCTCAGCACCAAGGATGAAGAAATCAACAAAACATTTGAAGTCAACATCCTAGGACATTTTTGGGTGGGTCAGAAACAATCCTGGTTTATGATTCTATGGCACTTCCACTTAAAGACATGAAGTTTATAATTGAATTCACAGCCTTTTAAATAAGAGATTGTCGTTATCTTTGCCTCGAGTAAAGAATGAGGAAATTAGTTTAAGTTAAAGCTTCTCTGACAGAAGGGCACAGACTTCAAGGGGAGACAAGACTCAAGGAATATAAGCCAGGAACTGGTTGATCTTATCCTTCAGTATCTAATGCAAGACCTGGCAGTGCCAGATGCTTAAAAAATATTTGTGGGGGTTTACTAAGGATTGTAGCATGAGTTCAATCCCTGGCCAGGGAGATGACCCACATGGTGTAATAGACCTTTCCTAACCCACCCGCTGATCCCCTCAGCAGTGTAATAACATACGATGCACAATATTACAGAACTCTTAGCTTGTTCTTCTCCACTGTCTTGATACACCTACACAAGATTTTAAGTCTTTTAATTAGAAAGACAAATCTCCAAACCAAAAATATGTGCTAGATTAAGTTTTCAGTTATGCAAACATCTAAACATTATTTAGATGACATATTCAATAAAAGAGGTATATGAGTCCCACTGAAGGAGACAGCAGAAATATTTTTTTGAACATACATATACATAATTTTTTACATCATTCTTCATTTTGTACATTTTTCTTTTTTTATCTTTTCTCTTTTTTTTTTTTTTAAGATTTATTTATGTATGTATATAGAATGGGGATACAGGCCAGAGGTGTAAGGGTAGTGAGAGGATTCACCAAAGACAAAGTGGGGAGTAGAACAGGCAGACTGATGAAGTACACTGCTGAGGGGAGCAGCAGGCGGGACAGGAGAGGTCTGCTTCACTACATGGGTCACCTCCCTGACCAGGCATAGAACTCATAACGTGTCTTCATCTTGTTTCATAGTGCTTCACTTTAGCCAATTTTGCCACCAGGGAGGGCCCTCATTTTGTACATTTTTTCATCCCAGTTGTAATCCCTGTGGACTTCCCACCCAGTTTGCTGTCACCATAGTCCGGTGTGCTCTTTCCGCCCAGTTTTGATCTGTTCCTCTCTCCACCCCCATAAAATGTCTCTCGGTTATAGTTGTTTGTTGATTTTTGTTTTTACTTTATTACAATTGCAGAGCGGAAATACTAAGGTGGTTTTTGGCAGGTGACATACAAGGCAAATCTTGTCGATTTCCATCACCTGCATACAAATAATAATTGTGGAGTCTTGGCATATATTTCCTAATATCCCAAATATTGTCTCAAATGTTATCTGTCTTAACACAAACAACATTCCTTGATCTGGAAACACCATTAATATTATTATTTATTTGTTTTTTGTTTTGTATTTTTTTCCATAATGAACCTCCAGATTACAAAAGCACTTCTTCCCTCAATGATGAAAAGAAATCATGGCCACATTGTCACTGTGGCTTCAGTGTGTGGCCATGGAGTGATTCCTTACCTTATTCCATATTGGTGAGTATTACTTTGTAGCATTGTTATTTATTTTTATAAGTTTAAGGGTTTTATTATACCTCATATTCCAACCCCCAAACAGGGTACTTTGGATATATGGGATTTATCAAAAAAGTTTAGAATAAACTTTTAAAAATGACATGTAAAAAAACCATCATTAAAGCAACCTATTGAATGGAGTAGATATTTGTAAATCATACATCCAACAAGAGCTTAATATCCAAATATGTATATATTTTGAAAAACTCACACAACTCCACAAATTTTATTTTGTTTTTAAAGATTTATTTATTTATGCTTACAAAAACTGGGATGCAGTTCAGAGGTGCGCAGGGGGTGAGAAGATTTACCAGAGACAGAGTGGGGAACAGAACAGGAGGACCCACTGAAATACGTTACTGAGGGGATCAGAGGGTGGGTCAGGAGAGGCCTGCCAGGCCATGTGGGTCACCCCCCTGGCTAGGGGTGGAACTCACACTGCAGTGGCTGTGGATAGTCTCATAGTACTGTGTTTAACTTATTGAGTCACCAGGGAGGACCCAATCCCACAAAGTTTAAAAATGGACAAATGATCTGATTAGATACTTCTCCAAAGAAGAAACAGGTACAGGAAAAAAGTTCAACATTACTTTTACTAGACAAATGCAAATTAAACCCATGATGCACTATCACATCACTCTGGTTAGAATTGCCATTGTTAAAAGGGGAAGAAGCAGCAGAAGATAGAGAGCACGTAGAGAAAAAGGCATCCTCATAATTGTTTGTGGGGATGTAAATTGGTGCAGCTACTTGAGAAAAAACATAGGGAGATATGCTCTCAGTAGTACACGTCTGGGCATTTACTTAAAAAATGTGAATCAGGGCCTTCCCTGGTGGCGCAGCGGGTTGAAGCGCAACGCTGGGAAGCTTAAACCACTGCCGCATGAGTTCGATCCCCGCCTGCCCCGGAGGTGACCACATGGCGTGGCAGACCTCTCCTGACCTGCCCGCTGCTCCCCTCAGCAGTGTACTTCGTCGATCTGCCTGTTCTGCTCCCCGCTCTGTCTCTGGTGAATCCTCTCACCCTCCGCATCTCTGGCCTGTGCCCCAGTTCTGAATGAATAAATAAATAAATCTTTTTTTAAAAAAAAAAATGTGAATAAGGGCCTCCCTGGTGGCACAGGAGTTAAAGACAAAGTGCTCACAAGTTACCCCCAGCCACTGCAGCACGAGTTCTATCCCTGGCCAGGATGCTGACCCACATGGCACAGCAGACCTCTCCTGTCTCACCTACTGCTCCCCTGTCTCACCTACTGCTCCCCTCAGCAGTTTATTTCAGTAGCTCTGCCTGTTCTGCTCCCCCCCACTGTCTCTGGCCTGTACCCCAGTTCTGCATGCATGAATAAATAAATCTTTTTAAAAATGTGAAAGCACTAAATTTCAAATATATGTGTACCCCTATTTTCAAGGCCAGGCTTTGGAAACAACCTAAGTGCTCCCAGAAGGTAGAATGGATTAAAAAAAAAAAAAAGTGGTATACAAGCACAATGAGGTACTACAGTACTACTCAGCTATTTAAAAAATAACAAAAAGATAAAATCATCCCATTTCTGGCAACACAAACAGCCTTGAAGGTATTATGCTAAATGAAATAAATCATTTGGAGAAAGACAAATCCCATATTACTTTACTCGTGTAGAAGATAAAGAACCAACAAATATAAAACAGAAATGCGCCTGTAGAAAGAAAAAGAATTGGTTACCAGAGGGGAAAGGGTTGAGGGTGGGTGAATCGTAAATTATTTCCCTAAAGCAATAAATTAGTTGTAATCATTTAAAATATTTGTAGATTCTGAAAACTCCTCCGTAGAGCAAGAAAAGTAAACTACAACACCAAACATGTTTTCCTTTGCATCCTGGAGTAGCTAGATGTTGATTTAAAAAAAGCTGGAGCTACCTGGTGGCACAAAGGTTAAATAAAGCACCACATTATGAAGCTCTCAGAAGCCACGAGTTCAATCCCCGGCCAGGGAGCTGACACACATGGGGTAGTAGACCTCTTCTGGCCTGTCCACAGCTCCCCTCAGCAGTGTGATTTATTGATCTGCCTGTTCTGCTCCCCACTCTGTCTCTAGTGAATCCTCTCACCCACCACACTTCTGGTCTGTACCCCAGTTCTGTAAGCATAAATAAATACAAACTAAAAAAAAAAAATTGTGGAGCCCACAAACTAAGAAGCAGAACAGAAGTTCAAATGAATACAAAATCCGTGGTCTGGGTGCCCATGATAAGCTTCCTAAGGTGATCCCTGGATCTAACTATTTTCCAGGGTTTGCATCATAGCAGTGTATGAGTGTGAGAAGCACTGCACACATAAATGGCTGCTTCTACCACCTTAAAACACAAACAAGGATTAAACATTTGTTCTTGTTTTGTTGGTTAGCAATGTGGAGAGCCAATGTAATTACAGTTTTCTCTTTTTCCTTCTCCCTGAAGAAAAGAGCCAACCTTTAATTTTATTGTTCTTATTGTTATCTGAGTCAAAACTACAATACACATTTACATAGAGCAAAATGGATAATAAAGATAATATGCATAAGCTATTTGATTTAACCCTCAAGAGACTCTTATATTTTATTATCTACATATTAAAGATCAGAAAGTCAAAGCTAAAAGATGAAGCAATGTGCTGAAGATCACATACACCAGCTTGCCCAAGGCCTATTGACTGTGACCACAACTTCACAATAAACTTAAGAGGCCAAACTGTTCTCCAATGTCAAGGGAGAAACTATCAATTCACATTAAGAGAGAGAGGAGACATATAGCCCCAGAGAATAGTCCTGGAAGAGCTGGTCAGTACTAGTTGCCATTTTTGTAAATATGTTTTTCCTGGATTACATTTTCAAAATAAAAAAGAATTGTAAACAGGTTGGACATTGAATGGAAAACTTTACAGAGCTGGGGTAGAAAGGTGAGCAGTACTAAGACAGCTAATAAAAGTTATTAGATTTGTTCTATTGTTATCAAGGCCAATAAAGAAATGGGTGCATTCAGTAACATGTAAAATCATATGAGAATGGAAATGAAAATGCATGACTCCATGGAAGATTTGGGGGACTTGATTTCTGCTTGTTCTGAATTAAATCAACTTTGCCTTCTCAAAGAAAGGGGTGGGATATATTACATTTCCCCTTAACTAACTATGCTGGATAATTCTCTTACAGTTCCAGCAAATTTGCTGCTGTTGGCTTCCACAGAGCTCTGACATCAGAACTTGAAGCCTTGGGAAAAACTGGTATCAAAACTTCTTGTCTCTGCCCAGTTTTTGTGAACACTGGCTTCACCAAAAACCCAAGCACAAGGTGAGATCAAATTTAAGTTGGTAGGTAATATGGCATGAGACACTGATGTTAAAATAATAAGAGAAAACGGCCCTCCCTGGTGGCGCAACAGGTTAAGGCGCAGCACTGCAAGAGAGCCACAGTCCTTCAAGGAGAGTTCAATCCCTGGCCCCAGAGGTGACCACATGGCGCGGCAGACCTCTCCTGACCCGCTTGCTGCTCCCCTCAGCAGTGTACTTTGTTGATCAGCCTGTTCTGCTCCCCACTCTGTCTCTGGTAAATCCTCTCGCCACCCCTGCATCTCTGGCCTGTACCCGAGATCTATGCATAAATAAGTAAATAAAATAATAATAATATGAGAAAATTTTAGGTGAGCCAACTGAAAAAATAGGAAGAAAGAAAAATAATTTTTCTTATTAGTATTATTGTAATGCCTGTAAATTTTCACTTTGAAATGAGATGCACAGAGTTGGGGGAATCCATTAGGGACTAGTGGGAGTGATCAGCTACCAGTGAAGTTGGCAACGGGATGTTTATGTGTCCAGGTGAAAGGTTAACACTGTTTAGTGCCATGAGTAAAAAGAGTGTGGGAGCAGGATAGCCTGGGAATCGTGTCCTATTTTGAGTGTCCCTTCTGCAAGACACACTCCAAAATGAATGATAACTATGATCTCTCTCTCAAATTAGTGGTTCTACCCCTCAGAGCATGGAAAGAGGTATGCTCCTTTTTCATCTTCCATGGTACTGGCCACAGTGAATCCCAGTATTTCCCAATCTTGCTGATCCTAAGAATCATCACGTATGCTTACATTTAAAAAAAAAAAAAACTGTTCTCAGACTCTTCCTTAAAAAATCTGACTCAGTAAGAATGAAGAGTTTTGTTTAGTTTTGTTATAAGCATGGATGGCAGGTGGGACTGGACACAGGTATAGTAAATATAACCCTGGCATTTGGTCATTATTACTCACTTGTCCTCTTTAAAAATGCAAGTATTACTAGAAGCAACAATAATTTGAATCCCTAATCCTTTAGTCAAAGTGAATCTATACAAGAACTTTGTCATTGTTATGGGAGGATTTGCGACAAGAAGAGAGGACAAGTTGTTCGTGGAAGGAGAGGAAATTAAAATTAATTAAAATTAATTAAAATTAAGCCACTTGTTTCACAAATTTGCATTAATCTAGTATTATGCGCTACTGCAGATTAACTGAATATACTAAACTTGCCTACCTGAAGTGGAAAGAAATTAGTTCCAAATATATTATAATGCAAAGAACAAGTTTGCTTTAACACTCAGCCTCACTTGAATCCAGATTCTGAATTAGTTGCATTATATGTTTTTGGGTCACTTCCTGACAGTGGATCCCTAACAATTTTAGACCAAATGTACTTCACTAGTACATAACCTGTAACTCACTACTGTGGCCCAGTTTCCTTCAATAAGGCCTGGTGTGCGCCAAGAGTACCAGGCCAACTTGTGGGGACAGCACAATAACTGAGGGGAAAAAGAGAGAGTGAATGTGACCCTCAGTGGTGAGTAATGTGGATGCCTGTGATTGGTCTTCTGGGCTGCTGGATTCTGAATTTCCATGGCAACAGCTAAAATGTTCCTATGCTAATGTCAGGCTTGACTCAGAAACTGTATTGTGGATTCAGGTGAGAGAAATCGGAGACAGAACCTAATCAGTTAGAAAGTAGTCATTTGCACTGTGTCTGCAGATCTGCTAGTCTTTGTTATTGAAACCTTAATTGCATAATAATTGGCAGTAAATGACAGGATATTTTAGGGAAGGAAGTTTTAACAATAGCTGCTTAACTCCTTTTCATTCACAGGTCATCCAACTTAGTGCTGGTGCAACACTTTCAATCCACTTACATTTTCATTTTCTGTCATCATCTTGCATGAATTCTACAAAGCCCGGTGGCTATGAATCCTACTCTGGAGCCATGTAGACACCCTTCAGTATAAGCAAGGTCGTCCCTCCAGAGGGACAGCAATAGAGTAGGTGCACATCTTACACTCTCATTAAATTATAGCATAGACAAGTCAGAGGTGACTCCCATGTCCTAAATGACCTCAAAACAATCCTATTTAGGGCCTCCCTGGTGGCACAATGGGTTAAAGCACAGCACTATGTTATCCGAAGCCATTGAAGCACAAATTCCATCCCCTACCAGGGAGGTGACC